ATATTAATTGACATAAATCGCAAATTATTGAATTCATTTAGTAATACTTTTCATTATTATAAATTACATATTGAATAATTATTTATTGATTTTAGTCGAAGCGATGTAACTTCAATTGTCTGACTTCTTATTAACTTATGTTAGAGTCTCAGATTTTCCTTCATAGCCTATCGCAATCTAACGGAAAGCCAATTTGCTAACGTATGTAATCAAATCCGTTTCTGGAATTTGATTACATTACCACGAATAATTACAAATCATTCACTATCATCCATGAGATGCAACATTTCTTTAATATTGGCATACCATTGGGCGGAAACGAACTGATTTGTAACATTGACTTCCCAAAGATTTATCGAAAAGCGATGAAAAGATGAAACGAACGTTGCATCACGTAATGCAATGTCAATGTTTGCTGTATTAGATTGCGAGAAAGACTTGAGGATGCGATGCATTCTCGCGAGACCAGTCTCTGCCATCACGCGTCTCATGGAGTGATATATAGTCGCGAAAGAGAACGCAACTTAGCGAGAACCTGTGCTTTTATATGTGTGTGTGTATATGTATATACACGCGTGTACCAATAGTATACGTACAAGTAAATGCTTAGGTACGAGTAAACGAGTACGGCGATTACTTATATTGACGAAAGGACGAAATAACATGGCAGTCAGCGAAATAAGTAAATATAATGGAGATCTCTCTTTCATGTGATTGAGTGGCAGTAATCATTCCTTAATCCACTTGTCATAGATCGCGCTCGTCTTTCTTTTCTGATAGTGTGCCAACAATATGTAGACATTATCATAGACATTAAATATAAATATACGCTCGTCGTATTATTTTAAACACAACGTAAATAAGTAGAAAATAGACAAAATGTTTTATATTTTTCTCTCTCAAAGAGAAATGATATAAAATAAATGAAATATATGAAATTTTACATATATATATTTTATGCGTAATTTTGTGCAGTTTTCCTATTTAACAAAAGAAAAAAAAATATCAGACTATAAAGCCAAATAAATAAATAGCATATTATCTTCGACAGTAAAGCTTTATCTTTAGATATTACTCATTTAAATTTTATGAGTAATGATTACACAGAATTGTTTCTGTCCTTTTTCTGTGCTTAATTATTAATTTCGATGGCACTGTTAATATCGCAAATCTTACGACACGAAAAAAATGGCAGATTATGGTATGTTATCAGGCCATAAGAGAAGATTTAACGTAATGGTATATTTTCTATTATACCGCAAATCTTATCAAGGCCAAAAGCATATCGTATGACTACAATCTGCGCTTGTATTTTACAGTATTTCATATTTCATAAAATTGCCTGCGTATTTATCTCGCAAGTAATTCTTAATATTTAAACTTACAATTCATAGAAGATTCGACAAACAAACATTTATCTTTGACGATGAATTCGATAAATCTATATAAAGAAAAAGAAACAAAAAGAGACCAAAAACAAATGAAAAAAGAAATGTATTGCGCATAAAATGTGCATTCCAATGAGGAAATGCTTTTCTTCATTTCGCTTTATCATTCGCATATAAGTGACTCATCGGAGTCGCGGTATAAATAAACAACTTGCAATATACAAATTATGTTTTAACAAAATTTACAGTCATCAGTGGAAAAAAGATCTTAATTGTCAATATAAAAGCGTACGCTATACGAAGGAGCGACCTGAATTTTTCCACATTCTTTTTCTCTTAACCAACTATCCTTAATTCATTCTATACACGAATTTTATTTAGGACAACACAATAACTTTTTCCATATCTAAAATGGGATAACTATGTTATTCTCACTCTCACCTGCCGTTTCCTTCCGGCATTAAATGCGGTAATGCTGATCACTGATTCTCCTTCGAGCATCTCTGCTCCACGATATAAGAAAAATGAGAAAGATGATTTTAGCTGTAAGCACGCCTTAACACGTAACCGAGAGACAAGTTTGCGTAAACTTGAGAGAGAAAGAGAGTAGAGATCCATTATTACTTATACTTATTAATCATAATCTGATTTATTTTTCTTTAAATTGCGATATATGTGCATCACCTATGTTTTGCAATAATTGCTTATTGTTGCATGATTTAGGATTAATCAGGATGAAGATTTCTTAACCGAATCGTTTATTATTGTAATGTTTATATCACTATCTGTTTGAGATATTTTCTTTTATTGCTGAGAGATTAAAGATAAAATGGGACATAAGTAATCATAATGTATTGGATATGTATGTAACGGAATTGATGCTTTTTAATCATTAATTATTTTTATAAACTATCCTTGGGATATATAATTATTTATAATCGACTTGTCTTTTTCTACGTATTTGTGTTGACGTACGTCGTTCATTCAAACGAATGAAATTTTTACATTTGTATGCAATTTATGCAATAAACTCTATGTTAATATCATATACGTACTTATATAAATAATCGGGTAAAATCTGATCGAAATATCGAGTATGGAGATCAGATCGTAAAAAATAGAGATAACCCGTATTTTAAGGAATGCCATGTTTATTTATATTAATAAATGGCAGAAATGTGATATGTCGTTTCAACCTTAATCCGATTTTTTTCCTTAAATCTTCGGCCTTTGAGCATGTAATATGAAATACATAAAAGCTTTTTCTTAATAATCTATATCGGACAATGCAGCGTACTAAATGTATATTATAATTTTTCATGAATCCTAGGAATTTATCGATTTTAAAGCAAAATATTCGTAGCTCATCTCTCGAATTTACGCAAAAGTTCTCTCTTTTCGTCTACTACATTTCTATCATTCCCATTCATCCGAATAAGACTTTAGGAGAGCTTATGATCGTGACATCGGTACGTCATCGGTATGTCATGCCTGGAAACTGAGATCCCTTCCGATGTCATTTGTCATCACGAAAATGTTTTTACGAAAATACCAAGTATCACCTGACGCACTCAGACGCGACTCGAGTTCATGATGCCTATTAGTAGTCCTCGCGCATTTTAGTGCGGTAGACACGTGTCGGAGTCCCCGCTGCTGGCCATGGAGAAGTTCGCGGAGTCCCGGTCGCTCTGTCTGATCTGCGCGGTGGCCGTGAGCTTGTTGTTGCCCTGCGGCATCTGCGGGAAGGTGTGATGACCCGGCAGGGCCCAGGGTTGGGTGTGCAACTGAACCGGTGGGAACCTCTTGACGAAGGGATTGCCGGGGGCAACGGCAGTTCCGTGGAGCAGCCTCACGCCGTTGTGATGCGACGGCAACGTCGTGTGCGCCGGCATAGTGGTGTGAACCTGCGGCGGCACGAAGGTATGCCTCGGCACGGAACCGCAACTGCCGGTGGAGCCGCCGCTCATGTTTGCCGCGGCCACGCTGTGAGACGCGTGCGGCAGCGGCATCGTGGAGCAGTGAGGATAGGTGACGATAGGCTGCGTGGGGTAGTGCGGCAGAGTCGCCGAGGAGGCCTGTATGCGGATATCGTTGCTCTCAGTGAAGGAGGTCATCCTCATGTTGGTAGACCGACCGAACGGTTCCTCATTCGGATTCAGCGGATCTGTGAGCTTCGTTCTCGAGAGCTTGCGTCGGATCACGACGGTCGCCTCATTCGGATTCTCTAGAATAACCGCCGGGCAGCCGGCGCCGATCTCGTTGCCGACGGCATTGCTATATGGTGGCACGTGGTTCACGTACTGCGGCGAAGAGAAGGATTGGCTGGTACCCGGGCGACTGCTGGGTGGCGAGAAGGTCGTGTTTGCCGTGGGTGGCTGCGCGCCACGCTGAAGAGAACAGCTACGCCACTGCTCGCGCGGCTCCTCGCGCGGTTCTCCGGTCAGGTCGTCCACGCTGGTAGCACGACGCTGAGAACTACTATGACTGACGTTGCTGGCATTACTTGCGTTACTATGCACGCCACTCGACGTCTCGCTGTTGCTACTGGTGTTGCTGTGACCGGTCACCGAACCGGCGCCTCCACCGTTGCCTACCGCGTCTAGAGGTGGCGAGTTTGAGGAGTCTGAACGTGGTGTCAGCTCGTCATGCGGCATCCCCGAATCCGCACGACGTAGGCATCGTGGCGTTTGTCCGCCGTTCATCTGAAAAGTTCCGTAGGTTGAGTTATTGCAACTCTAATTGCGATGTCGTAAAAGCGACGACAACGTATACATGATGCGAAGTACATGTATGAAAAAATGATGCACAAATGTTGAAATAACTATGTGTAGTTAACTCTTTTAACAAAGTGCATTCCCTTTTCTCTCTTGGCTACGTAGGATGCAAGGATAACATGGAATTGCGTGCAAAGTCTTGAACATTGTAAACGATGAATGAGACTGTCGTTGCATAACTCCGTAAAGAATTGCAATTGTAAGTTGCAGTTTATTAAAAGAACTGGACTTTAAATAATGTTTTTTTATTCAGCAAAATTCAGCAAAATATTAATGTATGATATTTCTCAGTCATTCGAAGTCACACTAATTTAAATATATTGCAAGTATTTAGTATAACGACAGACTCATCGTCTATGTGAACCAGACAATACGCAGTTAAGGTTGTTAGTACCTGAGCATTTGTAGTTAGTGGCGCCGTGACAATATCGGTGGTTGGTGCGCAAGTTGGAGTCGGAGGTGGCAGTGGAAGCGGTTCTTCCGCGGGATCGGGTAGAGGATCAGGGGTCAAAAGGGGTGAAGGATCACCCTCCGATGGTTGTAGGTCACGATTCGCATTCGCATAGTAAGTCACTTGATCATCGTTCACGCACTCGAGCAACTGTCAAAAGATAGCACAGTTAGTATTTGAGAAGAAACGTTTTAGTCTCATGCGCAGTAATATTAAGAAATTATTAATTAGAAATATTAGTAGACAAAATTTATTTGTATAAAATTGAAAAAAAATTCATAAATAAGGTTTTCACACTTAGCTGCCAAGTTGTGCGAAAAAGGTTTTGTGTAATTGTATATATGTTTTATTAGATGTTTAATAAAAAAATGTCCGCTATATTTTTGCATACATTAATAAAATATATTAAAAATGCATACACATTAATTAAAGATGTATTAAAAAATGAGAATTCTAGATAAAATAACTCAATTATATATATAGATATCCAACACATATGAAAAATAACATATGGGTTTTATACACTTATTTATTTCAAATTTTTATGTTTTTGTTACATACCTCTCAATTATATAAGTAATTTTATTCATAGAATTATTATATATTTATATATAATAATTATATATATATATACTAATCTATAATATTATTATAATCATTAAATAAGAATATTTAAGTCATGCTTATTTGTCTATCTGTTCTAATAAATTTCACATATAATTATGTTTACATTACAAGATTAGTAGACGATCGAAAAGGCACACGTAGTTAATTGATGTTACGTGAAAGTAGGACAAGAAATAATTTTATTTGTATCTTACATTCCTGAATTTAGGTATACCGTCCCTACGACTTATCGGCCATCTTTGCCACTGTCAAAAGCAAAGAATATCTCTAAATTAAAAGTGGCAGGAAGTGCGATAAAAGCGTATTTAGTGCAATCGGATAAAGCACAATAAAATAATGTTATGTTAAAAGAAAAAGATTGTTTTATTAAAATATACAAGTTTTAATATAGTAAATATTCTTAAAAGTAAGAATATTATATACATTAACGATCACGCACAAAAAATATTAAATATTTTTTCATGAATTAAATATTAT